CCCCAAAACCCCAAAACCCCAAAACCCCAAAACCCCAAAACCCCTTAATCAAAGCAAAAATTTAAATTTTAAATTATAATTTTTATTTCATATGGCATCATTGACAAATAGTACCTTCAGCAAAGGGATGTCTGACATTTACATGTCAGAAACCTTCCGTCTTCAGAAGGAAACCGACGCATTCACTAAAAAGTTAGAACATGAGAAAAGACAACTAATGATTGTAGAGGACCAAATTAAGCAAGCAATGATTGAGATCGAGGAGAAAAAGAGCAAAATTAATGAGATCAAACCCTCCAGAGAAGAGCTTAGGAAGAGAAACGCCACTATTAATAATATGCAAAAATCTATCCGAAACGAAGAGCTCAGACTCAACGAGACAAATGCCAAGAACCAAGATTTGAAGGGAGAAATTGACGTTCACAGGAAGGAAATCATTAGCACTAGCAAGCAGCTAAAGCGTTATAATAAGAAAATTAAGAAGACTATCAGAAAAGCCAAAGATACCAATTCTGATTATGTCAAAGACAGGAAGAAAGCCGAAGAGACTCATGACCAGATCCTTGCCTTGAAGGCTAAACATGAGGAAGAAAAGGCCAGATTTGAAAAAGAAATTCGTAATCTCCAGGAGAGACTTAATGACAAGGACCATTCCGAAGAGGCCAAAGAGACTCAAGTAAATGAGCCAGATGATACTGATAAGAATACAAAGTTTTCTAATCCTATTGGAATTCTAAAAATGAGGCTGAATAAAATTATAGCTACTAACAAAGAGAAAAAGAAACTTATTGATCAATATATCAGAAATGTTAAGCTGATCGAGGATGCTTTTGAGAAGATTAAAAATACTACCGGTATCTCCAGTATCGACGAAATCGTCACTACTTTCATCAAGGCTGAAGAACAGAACTATAGCTTGCTCAATTATGTCAACAGGCTTGGCCAGGAAACCGACCAACTTGAGGAAACTAATAAAAAGATTAAGCAAGATATTGAAGTCTTCAAGAAGAACCAGCAGCTTGGAGAAATAGAAAAGGGTGAATATATTGATGGAATGAAATAATGAAATCACTGAAATGAAGGAGAATATAACAAAGGCTAATCAAGAAAAAGACCAATTTAAATCAGAATTAAAGACTATTCAAAGTTTTGTAGAGAAGATCGTTTCCTTGTTTAAGAAATCCAAGTTTATTCTAGCAGTTGCAAATAAGATGAGCTATGAAGATGGCACGACTTTCAATGATACGAACGTGATCCAGTACCTAGCAGAACTCGAAGAATACATCTCCAGCCTCATCACTTATGCCGCGTTCAAAAAGGAAGAACCATTCGCCGCAATTTCAGCAATTCCGTTCGAAAAGCTGAATAAAAAGGACTTTGACAAGTCGAAGCTCAATGTTGACGCGCCGGCCAACACTCAGTTCGAGGGGAACCAGGAAGGCGAAAGTAGAGAAGACGAGGGAGGCATCGTCAACTCTAAGGAGCTCTTCAGTAAATTCCTGTATCTCGTCAATAACAACAAGATCAGCTTTGTTTCTAGATCTACAGTGAAGCAACAGCAAGTCTAGGTCGACACATACAGTGCATAAAGTTCAATTATTACAAAATAATTAGGGGTTTTGGGGTTTTGGGGTTTTGGGGTTTTGGGGTTTTGGGGTTTTGGGG